CCGGGCAGTTCTGTTTGATGACACACACACACATATATATATATTTGTGACGATATATATATATATGTCAAACAGAGCTAGAGTTTCCCGGTAAACTGTAGTAGTCAAACAGATATATATATGTATATGCAGGGTAACCGGCGTTCGGGACGGGCCGAACGCCCGAACCTGAACGCCCGAACGTATGGGACCCCTTGGGGATGCGTTCGGCCGTTCGGGCCGAGCGCGGACCCAAAAAAAAAAAAAACAAAAAAAAAAACATAAAAAAAATCTGAAAAAGGATATGTTATGAAGAAAAATAAACTTAACAAGATTTGCCTCAGCATTACATCCAAATTCCTTGCCAAATTTGAAATAAAAATAAAATAAGAAAACCAAATACTAATTAAAAAAATAACAAAACAAAAAAAAAGAATTAAATTTAGTGAGTTCGCGAGCATGTTTTCGACACCGCCATCTTTGGCGATTTTTCATTTTTTTTTGGAATAGATAAATGCCCTGAGAATTTACATATGTGTACTTCACATAATGCAAAACACACTAAAAACGTTTCAAAAAATAATAAAAATTTTTAGACCCCGAACTAAAGTGAAAACAAAAGTAAAAAGTAAAAAAAAAAGTGGGCAAGCACCTTTTTACACCGCCATCTTTGGCGATTTTTAATTCTTATTTGGATGAGCCAAACGACTTGAAAATTTATAGGCATGTACCTCACGTCATAGAGAACTCATAAAAAAAAAATCAGAAAAAACAAAATATTTTTAGGCCACGAAACAAGTTTTGGCGGGGTCCGAACGCCGTTGGGTTCGGACCCCGAACGCCCATACGTACGGAGGTCTGACCGGGGACCTCCGTACGTACGGGCTGGTAACTTTGTGTATATGTATATATATTATGTAGAACGATAGTACAAACAACTTTTGCCTGGGAGTTAAAAAAAAAAAAAAAAGTGTGATCACATAAAAAGTTCCGACCTGTGTAGCATCGTGTTCGCATTTGGTGACCGAACCTGAACGATCGCGACCGATCGCGAACGAGCGTCAGAACCCACGAACACAAAAATATGAAATAAAAATAAAAATAAAAAAATAAAAACAACTTTAAAAAAAGTCCCTCAGAAAAATCTGAAAAAAAATAAATAATAATAATAATATTATATATACACACTAGGGAGATATCCCAGGCGCCTGGGTCCCAACGTCACGCCCGGATTGGCAACCGGGTGACCGGCCGGGTATGACCCCCGGCATGGCCCCCGGCAACCTCAGCGCAAAAAAAAAAAAAAAAAAAAAAAATCAAATCCTAAAAAATCTGAAAACAAATTATGTTGTGTAGAATTGCAATACAAACAACTTTTGGCTGAGGGTCACATCAGAATTCCTCACAGAACTAAAGATAAAAAAGAAAATAATCATATCACACTAAGGCACCCCCCTTTAAACCCCATTAGCCCCTTCAAATTTCATTTACACTCCCCTTTCCCCCCCTTGACAGCCAACACTCAAAAAAAGAAAAGAGCACGGATTTGGGCTCCTCTCGGAGAGCATGGAAAAACCCCACCATCATTTTTTTTTTTTTTTTTTTTTTTTTTTTTGCCATGACCGGGTCACCCGGGTGCCACACCTGGGTGACCCGGTCATGAAAATCTTCCTAGTATATACATGTATATATATATATATCGTCACATATACGATATATATATATATATCGTCAAATATATCGTCACATCTATATATCGTCAAATAGAACTGCCCGGTAAACCGTAGGCAGAGAGGGAGAAGGAGAAGAGGACAACAAACGAGGGGCTGTGACAAACTGTTTCGTCGGAGTTTCACCGACTCATATCGTCAAATAGATATATATATACATCAAACAGAGCTACAGCTTCCCGCTAAACTGTAGTCGTCAAACAGATATGTTCTACCAAACACACTTTATGTAGAACGACAGTACAAACAACGTTTAAACGACAACAACAACAACAACAACAACAACAAAAAAAAAAAAAAAAAAAAAAAAAAAAAAAAAAAAAAAAAAAAAAAAAAAAAAAAAAACAGAAAAACAAATATGTTCTACCGAACACACTTTCGGGACACGTTCGGCCAAACAGCCGAACATGTTCCAACGTTCGGAAAAGCCCCGAATGTGTTCGGTGTGTTACACAAGCTCAGACCCTATATACAAAAGGAGAAAAAAAAAAAAAAGGCAACTGTGTTGCACAACAACCACTCACCCTCTCTCTCTCTCTCTCTCTCTCAGAAATGAGGTGCGATCATGTCTGTATCTGAACTGAAAACTGTTCTGGTTACAGACATAGCAAGTCCACTGTCGATTACCTCAGCACCGGAAAATGGGAGGTAATATAGCTGTAAGAGGAGGGGAGAGAACACCTCCACCCAAAGATATGAGGGGGTGTCCCAAACGACAGTGTGTATTTTGCTCCCTCCCAGCTTTCACCACGATCACAGAGTCTAAAGACGAAATGCACAAAAATTGAAAAAACATGTGCTGTGACACTGCTGTCCTATGGGACATCCTCTACCGCTAAAATAATAAAATTGGAATCGACGCGTAGAAGGAAATTGACACGGCCCTACTACTGAACGGCAATGGCCCTAAATTTTGCAATATGGTCCACGTTAAACCACCACTACCCCCACCATCCTAAAGTCAGGGGGACTGGTAGCACAGGTTGTAGGGGGCTACCGGTAGGCCGGTGGGGGGGAGCAGGGGAGTGGCAAAAATGGAAAATGCATCGAATTGCCACTGCAATTTATTCCGCAGTTTCGAGTCTTTAGACAGGTTTTTTTTTTTTTTTTTACTGTTTTTCCTGGAAAAATCATGACCAAATCTACGGATGCTACACTTTTCAGATTTCTCACTTTTCAGATTTCTTGCCACACTCTTTTGATCGTGCAAAATTCAAAAATCGCTGAAGTTGAGGTACTTTTCCAGGTCAGCCGACACGTGGTAGAGCAGCAAAAATGGAAAATGAGCTGAATGGGCGCGGGATTTATTTCAGAGTCCAAATTTTTCATTTTATATTTTTGATATTTTTCAACGATTGCATCTTGTCCATTTCGAGGTGTTCTTCGTGCATATTTTGTGCCCTGGCCATCACGATCATGTGTGTTGTGCGCTGATCAGGCGATGCTCTAACGTCTGTGCAGTTTTCTCATTTTCTCATCAGCCGGACAATTGACAGCTTCTGTACGTGCATGACATCTGTACGGTGAACACACGGCTTTAAAAATGTTGACAAATACAAAATTACAAATCAAGAGTGCAAGCTCCAAAAATAAGACCCTATCAACAGGACAAAAAAAAGGGTTAAAAAAAACTCAAAAAAAGGTAAAAATACTTAAAAATACTAGACTATCAGCCGGGCCGCCAGGGTCCCGGGTGGCCAGCCCGTGCAAGGACCAGGGAAGGTCCCAGCAAAAAAAAAAAANCAGGGTTATATCGAAATTCTTCACCAAATTTAGATTTTTTTTCTTTTTTTCTTTTTTTCTTTTTTTCTTTTTTTCTTTTTTTTGGCCCGGCCAGGCAAGTGACCCCGGGCCACTCTGGTAGCCTAGAAAAAATAAAAATAAAAAAAGGTTTTTTAAAAAAGAGGGGGGGAGGGGAAGGGGGGCAAAGAGGTATTAAAAAAAAAAGGCAAAAAAAACGTTTAAAAAATGTTTTAAAAAAAAAGTTCAACAGAAATAAAGTTGAAAAACGTTAAAAAACAAAAAAAAAAAACAAAAAAAATCAGAAAGATCCTATGATTCCTATCAAAGGCAGGAAAAACTGCAGGATTGTAGGGCCATCCCATCAAAAAAAAAACAAAAAAAAAAACAGAAGATCCTATGATTCCTATCAAAGGGAGGAAAAATTGCAGGACTATGTAGGGCCTTCCCATCCGTTCCAGTGTAATTGACTTCAGCTCAACTGCCAAAAGCGCGTGCAGAGGGTGCGCACTTCAGATAAGGTTAAAGTGCCGACAGAACAAGCAAAAGGGGGAGGAGGGGGGGGGGAGGGAAGGGAACTGGAATTGAAAATTCCTCCAACAGAAAACTGAAAATTCCTGCAACAGAAAACTGAAAATTCCTGCAACAGAAAAAAAAGCTAGGTTGTTGGATCGGACGTCCGGGGCCCCCCTGACCGTCCGGGATGTCCGACCGGACGTCTGGTCGGACGTCGGGACCGGACAGGGTATGTCCGACCTAGCGCAAAAAAAATAAAAAATAATAAAATAAAAATAAATAAAATAAAATAAATAAATTAAAAAAAAAAATCATGTGGCTTCCACCTTGCATTAGGTGTATGCCACCAAATTTTTGGATCATTTGGGCCAGTAGAATAAATAATAAAAATCTTCAAAGATTCTAATCCCCAGCTATACCCCTCCTATCCCCACCAAAACCCATCGTACCCTCCCCCCCCTCCACCCCAAATACCACCCTATCACCAAATGCTCAGAAAAATCTGAATTTTTTTGTGGGGGGTCTCTAGGGCATGCACAACACTCTGATTTTTTTTCTTTCTTTTTTTTTTTGTGCCAAAAAGCCGTCGTCCAGAAATCCGGACGACGGGCGTACCTGACGTCCGGGGGAGACGTCCGGTCTCCGGACCACTGGTAACCTAGAAAAAAAGAGCCAAACCTTTCCCATTCTTCAACAAAAAAAAATTAAAATAATAATAATAATAATAAGAAGAAGAAGAAGAAGAAGAGGAGGAAAAAGAAGAAGAAGATGAAGAAGAGGAGGAAGGAATATAAAAGATGCCTGAAAACCCGCGAAACCTCGAAACCGCAAGAAAAAAAATCATTCAAACCAGAGTGGTGGTAAGGTATTAGACTATTAGTTAATAGTTACCTGAACTTACCTCCTTTTTTTTTTCTTTTCTTTTTTTTTCATTTTCTTCAGCGAGCCACAGGGAGACAGCAGTACACACAAAGAAAAAGGGAAGAAAAGAAAAATTGAGCGAGTGCACTAGTGTAGAAAAACTTTTTGCAGCGAACGCTGTTACGCTGCGAGCGAAAAAAAAAAGCTTCGAGTCGAGCCAACACCAACAGCGAGGGAAGGCAGTCTGAAAGCAGAAATTTTTTTGTGCCCATTACTCTGTACTCTCTCTCTCTCTCTCTCTCTCTCTCTCTCTCTCTCTCTCTCTCTCTCGCTCTCCCGTACTCTGTGCATTGCCGACTTGATTTGAACTATTAATATTATTCTCCTCTTGCCGTCAAGAGAAATGCGGCACCAGAAAGCAATACCACTACGTCAGCCCGCGGCTCAAAATAAAACTGTGACGCCGACCAGCCGGCACCGGTTCCGCAACAATATTCAGGACCTAGTGCGGGCATACACAAGGACGGACAGTTGGTGCAATCGTGCCGTAATTCGCGCTATTCGCAAAGTGCCGTAATTCGCGCTCCCGACTCGCAAAGGTTTGTCAATGCAAACATAACTGCCGCCCTCGACGGTCCGCAGGAAAAGCAAGGACACACAGTCGTTGATTGTGATTGTGTCATTTGCGCCATTCGCACGATGACGACTCAATTCGCGCAGTCACGGCATTCGGCCTCCAGACGTGCAGGCTCTCTCTCTTGACACACCCATAACCCGTATACCCGTCCTCGACCCTTCGCTGTCATGCATATATCATCATCATCATCATCACACAACTACACTCAGAACTGAACTACACCGACAACTGCCGCATGAGAGCCACTCATCTTACACAGTACGACCGAAGACCAGCCCGAGCGAGAGCCACCCATCGTACACAGTACGCCCGAAGACCAGCCCGCGCGAGAGCCACTCATCCTACACACTACGGCACAGCGCACACACACGCACGCACAAGCACAAGCAGAAACAAAAAAAAAAAGGGAAGAACTTGGGGAAAGGTAACCCAGAAAAACAAATATACAAGATTGCTAAGTTGCGAAGCGGTGAACCAGATAAAAA